TGTGTGTGTACAGTTCAGGCACGGCAGAAGGGATAGGGTCTCCATAAGTCAACAGGTGACTTGAAAGTACACACACACACACATCTTTGCAGCCTGTGAATGAATAGAACAGTAAAGTGGAAGAAAAAGAGGAGGAACCAGCTGAACCTCCCAGTACAATTAACAAGGTCTTGTTTCCCAGTTAGAAGCATCAGACCTGAGAAAGCACTTAGGACTGTTCACAGGAAGGCTTCCAAAGACTCAGTTAGATCTAATTAACAGCAATCCACATTTGGCTTTCACACCTAGACTGTTCTGATCTGCAGAAGCACTAACAAGCAGTAGTCCCAGCAGTTGGCAGCAACCAAGGGCTTTCTCCTTGTTGTGTCCAAATCTATTTGTCAACCCAACTGGGGAGATGAACTTTCTTTTACAGAAGTGGCTTTGCCAATTCTCCAGTGAAAAATCCCACCCAACGTTTTGAGTCAAGAACCTGCTGGCAAACCTCTCACTACCAATTAATTCTACTAGGAAATCTCTCTCAAAGAAAGGCTGCAATCCCATCCACAGCTACAACTTACCCACTAAACAGCATAGTACTTACAAGTAGGCAATGCAAGTAGGATTGTGCAGTCAAGTGGTAACTCCTAATTCTTCAAGTGTATCTGCATTCCTTGGTTATAGCGATTTCACATCACTTTAATTTTCCTGGGTGTGTCCTAAGGAATCCTGAAATTTGTAGTTTGGTGATATACTTAGGGTACTGTACTTAAGAGAGGTAGCCAAACTATAAATCCTTACATGCCTCTTTACACTATGGAATTAAACCAAGTCAGTTATCAATCTTCTTTTTCTCATCTTACCTTGGTAGCAGCTACATTGCATAAACCAAAGTACAAATCCCAGGATTCCTTAGGATGCACCTTTACACAGTAGAAGCAGCAATTGTTAGAAGCAGCAAGTGGTATCAAACTGCTATAACAGGATAGTGTGAAAGGCCCCAGTTGACACTACACAACCATTGCATAACTTGTTGTTCTTGTCATGATTGTGTGCCTTCAAGTTGTTTCTGACTTATGGTGACCCTAAGACAAATCTATCATGAGGTTTTCTTGGCAAGAATTGTACAGAGGAGGTTTGCCATTGCCTTCCTTGAGGCTGAGAGAGTGTGACTTGCCCAAGGTCACCCAGTGGGT